CCGGGCGCACATGTCAAACAGGCACTTATTGGTCTCACTGAATTTCGTTAATAATCCTAGTAAAGTTACTACACTGTTGGATATTATTCTGCTTGCGTTACGCATGCGCACGCCGGCCGTGCAAGTATATTTACAAATTCGATAATATTATTCTGCTTGCGACATGAATTTACGGATGTGTGCGCAGCGGGTCGTGCAGGCATACGCGCGACGGGCGCGCAGGAGTACGCGTGGCGGGCGGTAAACTGACGCAAAACCATAAATACCGAGTATTTCTTTTCGTCGGGAGGGCAGCTGTACATGTGAGTTGAATGCTTCATTGAAATGAACATTCAATTCATTCAATAGCATAATAATCATAATAATAATGCTTGCGACGGCGCGCGCCGAGTGCGCGCGCCGGGCGCGCGCGCGCGCGCGGCGCGCGCACGGCGCGCAGGTGTATACGTGCCAAGTCTACGCGTGTAGTATATTTGCACTATTCCTTAATATTCTGCTTGCAACGGTGTGCACCAGGCGTGCTCTCGGGGCGCGCGCCGGGCGCGCGCCGGGTGCGGGCCGGCGCGCGCGCCGGGGGGCCCGGCGCGCGCGCCGGCGGCGCGGCCCCGGCGCGCGCCGGCCCGCGCCGGCGCGCGCGGGCACACAGGTGTATCCGTAGAAAGTGTAAGGTGTAGTATATGTGAACTATCCATTGAATATACTGCTTGCACACGGTGCGCGCCGGGCGCGCGCGCCCGGCGCGCGCGCGCGGGCGCGCGCGGGCGCCGGGCGCGCGCGCCGGGCGCGCGCGCTGGGCGCGCGGGCGGGCGCGTGCCGCACGTACAGGCGTACGCGCGAAGTGTAAGCGTGTACTATACTATATTTACACTATTCCATAATATTATGCTTGCAACAGAATTTACACATGTGCGCGCAGCGGGTTGCGACGGGCGCGCAGGAATGACATGTGGCGGTCGTTTATTACCACCCAAAACCAAATATACCCAGGGTGCGCGCGCCGGGTGTGCAGCGGGCGCGCGCCGGGCGCGCAGCGGGTGCACGCCGGGCGTGCCGGACGTGATAATACAATTCTTTAGTCTGTTTGCAACGTGCACAGGTCTGCGCGCCGGGAGTTGAGGCGAACGCGCTCCGGGCGCACAGGCGTACGCGTGCCGGGCGCGCAATCTTGTAGTGGTACCGGCCGGATGTTTAGGGTTTAGGGTTTATGCAAACATGAGCAGCCGGACGAGCCTCCAAACACAATGTCGATCTTGCCAGCGAATTTGGCATGAAGAAGGCTTGACCTCAGGTCGACGAGTTCAGGGTTTAGGTCCAGCAATTTAGTAAGGCGCGTCAAGCAATTTGTTAAGCAAGTGACACGTTTTTTCTCGCCATTGCTGGTTTATTGTGAGACTGTGTATCCGTACATCAGTCCCTTTAAGTTTTTCGGAGACTGCGTATACGTACAGTCCGTCTATACGTTGAGGACTCTTCCATGCCTGCGAAGCAGAAACCAAAGCTGATCTCTGTACGTGTCCCGCATGCCCAGCAACACCATTGACAGGAATCTCACAGCGAACAGTGGACGGATGACCTCGCAGTATTGAACTGCCATCCGTCTAGCATCCGTCACTGGAATCCGTTCAAACTCAAACGAGTTGGCCAGAATGCCCTCGCAAAGCCTTTCCATGGTTCCTCGATCAGGCAAATCCCAATCCCAGCCGGGAGGCTGCTCAACCAAGCCCCGCAATCTCTCTGCATCTACCGGGTTCACTTCCATTCGCAACTTTCCTTGGAGTACGTCGCATTGTCGAACCATGCGTACTTTCTGCATTGTTGGAATCCGTTCCTGTACACCTGCTTCCACAATATCACCTGCAGAGGATCCGCGTCTGTTGTGCTTGGTTTGGAAGTGCTGTAGCAAACTTCGTAGTTGCCGATCGCTCAAAAAAGCCCGCTCCATTTGCCATCCCATTGACAAGTTCATCATGACACATCCCAGCACCAGGTCGGTGCAGATTCGCTGGAATTCTTCTCTCGTAAACATGTTTCTTTCCATTTCCGTAGTGGCATCGGCCGCGGAACCATCGCTATCATCCGAATGATAAGGAGTCGTTCGATCGTCATCGTCACTTCCTTCAGGTCCATGAAGCCTGCCAAAATCCGTTCGATCCATTGCTGCACTTCCGTGGCAGTACGTCGAACTGGGGCACTTCTTTCCTAGTCGTGTCTTTGACGATCTGCGTGTATGCGCATGTCAATAATACTGCCTTGTTTGCATGAGGACAATCGCCTCAGTCGGAGTACACTCGCTCAGACAAAAACGGTTCGATCGCGTTGAATCTTGAGCTGAAAAGCTGCTGCAGTTCAACATGTTGAGCTTGGAAGCAACCCATGGTGCAGCCGTCAAGTCTTGGAATGCCGTGTGGCTTAGGCCGGGGCTCTTCGAGGATCTCGATGCGCATACTGTCTCAGCCTGGCCGCCGACAGACTGAAAGTGAGCAGAGGGATACTGATGCCATGCATGACTTTCCTTCTCTTCCTTCCCTTCCCGCCTCCCTCACATCACTCCTTGCTGCCTGCTCATTCCTCGCATCTACAGTCACACCCTCATCTTGATCATTCCTTCTTCCTTCCCTGCTTCCTTCCTTCCTTGCTTCCTTCCTTGCTTCGTTAATTATTTTCGCTGTGTCTCTCTCTCTCTCCCTCTCTCTCTCTCTGCATCAGTCTTTGAGGGTCCGGCTCACCCCTGCTCGGGGTTCATCCTCACCCCTGTTCGCGGTTCATCCACACCCCTGCATGGGGTTCTCACGACCCCTGTTCGGGGTCCAGGCTCACCCCTTTTCGGGGTTCATCGGTACGCCCCTGTGCGGGGCTCTAACGACCCCTGTTCGGGGTCCAAGCTCACCCCTGTTCGGGGTTCATCCACACCCCTGCACGGGGTTCTCACGACCCCTGTTCGGGGTCCAGGCTCACCCCTTTTCGGGGTTCATCCCGCAGCCCTTTCGGCCTTGGTGCGGGTACGCCCCTGTACGGGGCTCCGACGACCCCTCTTCGGGGTCCAAGCTCACCCCTATTCGGGGTTCATCCCGCGGCCCATTCAGGCCTTGGCGCGGGTACGCCCCTGTACGGGGCTCCGAAGACCTTGATGTGGCCACCTGACATCCTGACAGGGCCTGCACGAATGCCTACAACTACTTTTGCCTGCTACCTTTTAGGGTTGAGGCTTAGTTGAAGGTTTCGGGTGTTGGATTTAGGGTTCAGGGTTTAGGGGTTAGGGGTTTAGGGGTTTTAAACCTCTTTCCTGATCAATGCCTCCTTACCTACATGCCCGCCTACCTAGCTATCTATCTACCTACCCACCGACCTGGAAGCCTGCCGACCCACCTACACCAACAAGTACCTTCCCTCCTGCCAATCTACTTATCCATACCTACTTGCCTACCTAACTATACCTCTCTACCTACCTGTGTGCCCCTTCCTACCTGCAGCTTCTGGGCTTGAATGGGTGGGCGGGTTTGGGGGTTGGGTGGGTTTAGAGTTTAGGGTTCAGGGTTTAGGGCATGGGCTGGACGTTACGAAAGTTCAGCTTCCCTTTGATGTTTAATCATGAACGCACACGCTAATTTTCAAGTCGTTGTGAATGGTACAAAAAGCTGACTTTAGGGTTTCAGAACACAAAATCTCAAGCTTCTTGTTTTCGTTGAGCCACAAGAACACCAAGTTGCATATGTTTGGTTTGCTCGGCACAAACGAATCTTCAAAAAATATTTTGATCTTCAAAAATATTTTGCAACAAAGAAATTCCATGTGAACTACAAAACTTGGGACAGGCAATTATGTCAGTATGGCTTTGATTTTTCGATGTACATGTTTTCACATTTCGATCAAACCAAGTTTCAGGCATTGATTTTTCTATCGAGCCACAAGCACACATCTTTTTGTACATGTCCAGCATCTCGCTTCTTCCATATAGACCCACAAGAACACAGTCTTTCAGGTATGCATCTTCATTTGGAAGAGACCAAGTTTTCAGGTTTTGTTTTTCCACTGAGCCGCAAGAGCACAAGTTTTCACATGTCCAGCATGTCTTCCATTGAGTCACAAGAACACACATGTCTTGCTACATTCCATGTCACATCAACAACATAAGTCGTAGGACCCGGTTCCATAATGGAAAGGACCCGGTTAGCCCCGGACTGGCATATCAGCCGTCAGGTCATACTGAGTGACGACATCAGAGCTCGAGCGCCTTTTCGTGGGGGAGTCCCTAGCTTCCCCTAGAGAAGCTTCCTGAGCTGTTCGTGCCTTACCAACTTCGGGCTTAACCGCTCCTACGTCCGCAGTACCATCTGCACCATCAAAGACAAGGACACGCACCCCGTCTTGATGCTGTACAGTGAGAGGACCTCCCAAAGCAGCCGCCAAGGCCGCTCTACTAGCTTCAAGCATAGCGGGGGAGGCAGGTTGCGTAGGCCCTTCCAAGGAGGCACCCAGAATCATGTCGCGAGCCGAGCCTTCCGGCAGCCCACCTCCCCCTAGAGCACTGGTCCCTACATCAACTAAGCCCTCATTCAGGGCTGCAAACGCTCCCGACATGACTCAAGACGACACGAAAGACCTATAGGGGGAAAGGAGGCGACCCCGTAGTTCACAGGGGGGAGAAACGGTTTGCTAGCCTGAAGAGCTGGCCTCTACCCGCCTCTCAAGGACACGGCCTTGAGCCAAAATGGCTTGAGCCTTAGGGGTTTAGGGTTAGGCCCCTGCGCGGAACTAGGCCTCTGAACGGAACTTCCGAAGCCCTAAACCCTAAACTTCCTTGGTCAGAGGAGTGTTTGGGGCTCCTGCCGAGCTGAGTGAGTTGACACCGACATGGCGAGTTTTACTATATGTGGCGTAGGGTTTTATGGTAGGGGTTTAGGGGTTTGAGGGTTTAGGAAATCCCAAGACGATACAGTAGCGGTTTGGGGGTTAATAGGGTAGGATATCCCACTGGATCCGAAGAAACACGGCGGGCATGCGAAGAGGAAGTGCTGGAGCTGCTGGAGCCTAAGTGTCCAGCGGCGCGATTTAGGGATCGCAAGTGGATCCAACCTGCATCGATTTCAGTTACTACATCCCATCACTATACTGAACCTAGGGCCCCAGCAACAACCATAATTTTAGCTGTTTCTTGGGGATTGTAGGAACCAAAGCTTCAACATATTTCTTAGAATCTAAGCACCCCTAAGATTAACAGGGTCTGACCCAAGCCAAAAGGCGCTGCTCTGCTCTAGCTCTTCGAAATTCTCGGCTCGGACACTGTCGACCTCATACTTCCCTTGCCGATGTAATGGTGGGCTCTGAGCTAAATGTCAGAAATTGTCAGAAATACCCAAATGCTAAAGTGTGTCTTTGGACGCAGCCAAGCTGAACAGTTGCGTCAGAAGGACTCGCCCAGAGAGGTCAGTTCGACATTCGCACTTCTACGTCCTTTCAGAATCTGAACTGTGGAGATAGCACAGGGGATGTAACTCATCCAGATTCGCTTGGATGTGGCATCGTGCTGCATCATGCCTTCAAGAGACGCGCCTGAATCCTGCTCGACCAGGTCGTACTCCATTACTATGTCTAGACTAGAGTCTTCAGACGTTCGAGCTGAAGTTCCGAAACTGTCAGCACAGCTCAAGCAAAAATTCGCATCGCACACACGTGATTCCGCGCTACTTCGGCACAAAGCCCCCGAAGACAAAAAGCGACTCTCCCTGGCTTGCTGGGGGCCACGGCTGCTCGAAGACTTTGCCTGTGGCATCCAAGCGTCGACACACCATACACAAGCGGAAGAGACTTTCCAGTCACGTCCGCGAACGGAGGAGGTATTAGCAATTCTGTATCAAGGCAAACATGCCTAGCATTTACTATGCCTGCTCATGTCGAGGGTGGTATCTTGTCTTTGGGCATTTGCCTCCTGGGTCGGTTGATTTGATTCGCTTTCGCTCCTTAACTCTCACTATTGACGCGGCTGGTGGAGGGAGCAACAACGATCGATGCCGCTCCTTGCCGCGATGCATCTCCCTATCTGCACGAAAGCCGCGAAGTTAGCTGTGGGCGAAATACCCATAACTTTGAACCCTAATTAAAGGAGTGACCAGAATCTCTGGAGCCTTCTTGGCCTTCTTCTTCTTGCTCTTCCTGAGTGGGCATGCAAGTGGTGGCTACAGGCTCGATGCTTAGGCTTAGACTTACAGCTGACTGAATCAAAAGCCGTAAGCTGCTGACTTGTCTTTCTTGGATTTCTGCTTCTCCTCCCAGCGACAGCATGTCAGCCGGAACTGTTTGCATGTGGGAGGCTACAGCCCACACCGGAATCCTGGCCCGAAGCCCGAGCTAAATTTTGAAGCTAAGCTTTCAAGTGAAGATTTCGGACCCGAAATCCAAAATCAAATCTTAGTGATTATGGGAGACGCAAGAAACAGCGGAATTCAGTAGGGGGATCCTGATTCGTACGTCCGCATAAGGCATCTCTAACCGTCTAAAAACCCTAGATTGACCAATGTCGAAGGCGGAAGTCCTGTAAAGCACCTGAAGTAAGGAACATACGCCTTTAAAGCACGTCGGTGCCTTTAACAAGAAGCAGGCTCCACATAACTTCAGGTCAATTCCTTCGGGCAGCAAGTTTGGAGTCTCTGGCGACACTGGACGGTCTCCTTCTTCTGCTTCTGAATCTTCTCCTTCTCCTTGCCGGCATCAGTCGGCTCATTCTCGTCCTGCAATATGAAACAGGTCTGAGGCCGGACATAGCTGTGCGGTTTAGGGTCCTAAAGATTTTGGACACTCACACTCCGAAGGGATTTCGACTCGCACACTCGCTCAAGGTTCAGCCACATCAAGCTTGCTACCGTGACATGTGAAAGCACTCGCACACCAGCCGGAAACATCCAAGTACCAGCTGCAACACACAGGCGCTTAGAGTTTCTTAGGGGCCCGATGCTGAGAAGGGTGTAGGGTGCATTTTGCAGGGTACAGTACACCGATGGCACGACATCATCAGCTCAGTGCCAACGTTGGATTGATAGGCGTGTCGCCATGGGTGCTTGGGTGCTTGGCTCTCGGAGACCTTACAACATATCAGTTAAGTCTCCTGGAGCAGCACTTTAGCAAAAGCCTTCTTGCATGATCAGGGGATTAGCTAAGTAGGTACTCTACATCGGGGTTCCTTTGACTTATCCCAATCGCAACCTCGGTACTCACCCTTCGAATATTATATAGACTTCAAACTTCTCAATCCTGGAACAAATCTTCAGAGCAAAAGAAACCTTAAACCGTAAACCTAAATCCCTAAAGCCGATGATCGCTCTGCTTTAACTTTAGCTCTTTGTGCAGGATCGGCCTCGAAGGGCAATGGCACATGGGCTCCGCGCTTTAGCAGCTGCGGAGTCACCTGATGGAAACGGCTTCTGTGGAATAGGGATTGATGGTTCAGAGCTTATGAGTGTGTGAACCGAGGCGTGAGGTCAGCCGCTGCACGAATAGACTTGCACAAGGCCAATCATGCTAAAGTTTTGGAGTGGCGCTTTGAACTAGTGCTGATACCGGTGTCACACAAAGGCATGGATCAAAACATGATCCTGAGAAAAGCGACATCCTACATCGGAAGCACAAAAGCGCACCAGCTTGTCGTACATCTTGCGCAGAGTGTCCTTCGGGTTCGCCACTTTCATGGCCTGGAGAAGCTTTCTAGCCAGACCGTTTGGAGCACGCCATGCCAGACTTGAAACGCCGAAGGCTGAAGAGCCGGTGCCTCCCTGTCTCTTTTGGCATAGAGCTTCGCCCATGCCTCTGGAATGAATGGGGTAGACACCCGCACCGCAATCGACAATGAGATGACAGTCCAGGTTGCCAAACGGGGAAGTCGGGGGCTCACCGAGTGTGCGAGAATGCAATGTGTTGACATGTTATGCTGTCTAGGCATGTATTAGGAAACTCATATTACTAACCCACATATACAGATGTAGATATAACACGTATATTGAAAGCCGCATCTTTGCATGACGGTAGAACTAGCAGATGTTCGGCAGGCTGCTATACTGACTATGTGTAGAGGTCACCTTACATGCAGATTCATGCTTTTTCAGCAGGACCTCGCTCTGACCCTGGATGCCGTGCTGCCGGAAGGACATCACGCCTCGACACGCTCCAAGTGATGCAATCAAAAACACCCAAGTCGAGCAATCAGAAACGGAGCGCCTTTCCTGCTACTGCTGCTACAGCTATTGCTACAACTGCTGCTGCAAGCCACTGCCCCTGCTACTGCCACTGCGACTGCTGCTACTCCTGGTACTGCTGCTGCTGCTGCTGCTGCTGCTGCTGCTACTGCAACTGCAACTGCAACTGCTACAACAACAACAACCACCACTACTACTACCACCACCACAACGACGACTACTACACATCATTGAAGTTTTTCGGCACTTTCGGACACACCCCAAACCTCAATTAACTGCATCCTCCCAGGTCGTTCGAAGCATTGCCACACGCATGTGTGGACAAGCGCTGGGGGCGAACCCTGGCAGTTGCAACAGTTGTAGGCTGTATAGGGATCATAGGATTGCAGGATGTTCATGAGGATAGTCGTGTTGATGAAAGCAGCTGCTATAACAGTAGCTCAGTAGTAGCTTGCACGACGGGCCTCGTAGCCCGTGCCAGGTCCGCCCATCACCAAGGCCACGAGGTGTCAAAATGCAGGTCAGAGACTTACCCCATACATTTTGGACTCAGCACCCTACGGGCCCTACGGGGTTTGGTGAAACTTGCCTTAAAATGCCCGAATCGTGAGAAGCCTCAGGTCACTCTCGTCGAGATTTTTGGGGCTGCGAGAGGCCTACATCTGTCCTTGATTTGACGTTCGCTGCAGTATGCTCACGAAACGTGGAACATGCAGGGATCTGGGCATTCCTCAGAAGACTCAGTTTGCAATATAGACGCTATGTGCAAAATTACGATCTGTGCTCTGCAATATCTTGTAGACGTGCATGCAGCTCAGTCATCACGAAATGCACTACCATTCTTCGAACCGCCGCCGCTGCAGAAAAAGCACGCGCAGCCCGTCTATATTCCACGATCCATGTTGGTCCAAGGAAACTCGCCTCATACCATGCAAGGCGACCCCATTCTTGCAGCGCAGGCGGTGGTCGGCCCACTTTTCCCAGAGCCTCGTGTCGTGTCAGCCTACATTCGCATTGCGACTTGTATGTCGCACCAGGGCATTAAAGAACATCGTCTGACCTCACGAGTAGGTCCGGCACTACCCCAAGTGCCCCCCGATCAATTTTTGCATTCCAATTATTTGCAAAGGCGAAACAGACCTCCAGGCTTCGCATGTCCCTCTGAGAGACACATACATGACATTCGGGCGTGTACAAGTGCATATATCTGTGGAAATTTGTTCAGACGGCCACAGCTGCCAAGTACTGCGAGGCCTGATGGTACGAAGCCGCCCAAGCCGGTGAAACAAGCTTTGCTGTCCAGGGGACCGCGCATCCCCTCAGCGGGTTGTCACCTAGTCTCCAATTATAGTTCTCTTGCATACAGACGAGTATCCTCTCTGCTGTGTTGGAGTCACAGAAGTACATGTAGATGCCCAAAAACGGCGAGCAAACGGTTCACTTGGCTGCATTGCCACCCTCCGTTTCCATGTCAGAGGGCCCATCGCCAGCCTGACCGAAGACCATCCGCAAGTGCCATACCGCAGTGTGCAAAAATGTTCAAAGCCTGGGCGTACATAACCTCTGCAATCCTGAAGATGCGACACCTTCATCTGCAGAACCTCGAATCGAGCCTCGCTGGGATTTCCCAGATCGCCTCAGATTTCGAAGAGCGCAACTTGATACACGTCCATACATCGACGACAAAAACGGCTCTTCCTTGCAAACACTCATACACTTACTTACATGCATGCATGCATGTATTCCGCGACCAGAAAGATGCATCCTCATGCTGGTGAAACAAGCGCCGGGTTGCTGAGGTCGTCCAGGCAGCTGTTGCGCTTGTCCGGGGTCGTAGGCGGATGATCCTTCAAGCACGAAGAAAGCAGTACATGAGGCAACTCAGCAACTCAAAGTCCAACATCCCCAACTTAACAGTCCGTTGTGAAGAATCTCGCACAGCCGTCTTGCTTGCCGAGTTTCTGCGGCGTTCAGCAGGTATATCGTTTCCTATTGCTCTATCATACTGAACATTCAGATACGATGCCACCCTAATTCCACTACATACCAAGCCTTGACCCAAAACCCTGAAACCGGCCGGCTTCAGGTGCATCACGCCTAGTCACAAGGAGGTCGCAGGCCCTTTTGGGGTCAGGCTGCATAATGCTGCATGTCTTAGGAAGCTGTCTATGGGTTTGGGCTAGAATTTTCATGTGTTTACAGTTTTGTTCTCTGCCTTGAAGTGAAGCAGCAAATCTCGACTCTGCAAGCCGAGCCAGAAAACAAATCAAACCCCCTTTAAGAACGTTTGGCCCGCGGCTCGATATGCAAACATTCAGATCCGAAGTCTCTCATCGAAGCTGGAAATCCAGGACTCCCAAGGCCTTCTTGAAATGCTTTACCCAACCCTGGCAACGCCGTGGTGAACCAGGATCCCCGTCAACGCCTCTGACAACTGAACCGGTAAACAGAAAACAACACTGCACCGCCAGGCCCAGCCCCTGTCCTTCTTGCTGGGCGCGCTACAACTCCCTATGCAGCCCTGGCCCTGTAAAGACAAATAAGTCTCTCTAAAGGTGCTTTTGCATTCAGGCCTAGTGCGACTGCTTGAGTACCCCTCCTTTCGCCCGCTACAGTCTAAAACATTATAAACGAAATAAACTCCCTAAAGCCCTCTGAGACCGGAATCACACCCTTCAAGCCGTGCAAAATTCCTAACCAAGCCTTATGAACCTCTGACTGAAGCAGCCTTGGAGAGAGTCGAGCCATTCGGAGTCGGTGCTCCCAGCGAGGGTCGGCTAGAGCGTTCGGCCAGGGCCATGTCTCCAAGCCTGCCGAAAAGAGGAGAAGCCTAGTGCGTTTCAGTGCCTTTCTAGGATTGCGCACGTCGGACTCTCCGGGCGTGCATTGAGCTTGTCGCTTTTTGCTATGGACTTGTCGCACTCGATGACTTCCTAGGTTGGCCCTTTACAGTCTCTGAAAGATCTTACGCCAGATCAAGGAATATTTGGAACATCCCAAGGGCGTACCTAGCTTCTGGTGAGACGAGAGGGCAGGAGCCTGCAGCTAGCTTCAGCAGCAAGCAACCCAAGATCATGTGAAACTGGCTCGACAACTTGCACATCAGGTGTCCCTCACAATGAAGTGATGGGAGAAGATTCAGGGGGTGTGTCATCGAAGGGAAGGCTGATCATGTTCGACTTCGGGTTCAACATGGCGCATGCTGATCTTGGGCTAGATTCGGCCAATTCCTGCACAAGGTGAAACACGCAAATGGTGACGGCAGCCCTCATCCAGTGCTGCTTGCTAGTCACCAGTCGGGAGTACATGTCAAATTGACGGTTAAGACCTGGTGAGACCCTAAACTCTCAGCTGCCTAGAGCCTTGATCGGGACGGTGCTCAGTGGATGTGTGCCAGTTTGGTCGTAGAACTCGCGGGAGACCTTCTGGAACTTCATGGCTTCTGGGTTAAACTCTGGCGTCTCGATGAACTGGAGGAACAGATTCGCCAGACGTTTTCGAAGACCTACGAAGGATTTCTCTGGCCGCCCCCTGTTCAGCATGTCGGCTTCCCTGTCGATCAGGTCGACCATCTCACGCGTGAGGTTGCAGTCGAACTCCTTGACCGTCCACTTCACGTGCAGCAGAACGTCCAAGCGCTCATCGACAGTCAGCAGAGGGAGCCGGAGACCGCTATAGAGATCCATGAGCTCCTTGGCTCTCGTAGTGAAGGGGGTGTGGACAGTGGTGGTTTCGCCATCGCCCTGCGCCCAGACCTTCGGCTGCGACATCGACTCGAGCTTGCTCTTGATCTTCGCATCTCGGTTCGAGGTGTGTGCCTGGATCTTCAGCTTGTCAATCGTCTGCAGAAGCTTCGTCTCTTTGCGCAGGAGCTCATGCTGTGCAGCTCGGCGAGTAGCCTCGTCGAAACCTGAGGTCTGGATTCGAGCGGCTTCGTTCACGCGCCAGGCCTCCAGCTCCTTATAGAGCACGCTGAAGTCCTCGAAGGTTCGTGGGTGCATTCGGCGCTCAACCTCCCTCTTGTGCCGCAGATCGGCTTCTAGCTGCCTTCTCTCGGCTTCCTTCCGCGCCAGCTCGTGGCGCTCCTGACGCATCTGCCTCAGCTGCCGGGTGCGCCTCCGAGCCAGCATGCCTCTGGCATGACACTGGATCATCACGCACTTCTCTAGCAATAGAGCTGCCTTGTCCGCACTGCTAAAGTAGGGTCTTCGGGGCTCCATCGTCTTGTCACCGCGGCTATCGATGTAGAGTCCGACCTTGTCCATCTGCGTCCCATTGTCCCGCTTGCACTGCGTGGAGCGCGTCCGGTACTCATAGGTCTGCGCCTCGCGATGAAAGCGAAGTGTGTGCACATCCTTCTTCTGCACTGGGGCTGTCTGAGTGATTGCATGATGGAACATGGAGTCCGTCACTTTGTTCCGGAAACCACCCAGGTACGGCTTTTCCATAACCGGCCTTTGTACGTGAACCGTAACCATCCTCTCCTCGCCGTGTTCGTTGACGACTTTAAGGTCCAGCATGTCCGGCATCACGTACTCCTCGGCGGGTTGCTCTTGGTAGTAGTTGATGCGGAGCTCGATTCCGGCCCGATCTCCAGGCTTGAGACCAAGATCACGGAGGGTTTTGTCATCGGGAAGCACTTGCTTGAACTCAACAGCGCCAGACAAGTTCATGAGATACAGGGACTTGTCAGGAATGCTTAACTCTGCCTCCAAGTCACCACGGATCTTTCCCACGGGGCGGTCGATGTTAATCTGCTTGGTCTGGCCATAGCCCTCTGGTAGAATCACGAGGTCGATCGCAGCCTCGCCAGGGCCCTCCCCACCTGTCGGTGCAGCGGGGGCAGCCTCTTCTTGCGGTGCCTCCTGCGTGGCAACTTCAGCAGTAGCTGGAGCTGCATCTGCACCTTCTGCTGCACCTTCTACTCCCATGTCTGCTTCTTGTGGTGGCGCTGCACGCTGACCGTCCTCCTCAGCCTCGACCGGTGCATCAGGAATCTCATCTTCACCCTCCGCCATGGCTAAGGCAAAGCCCACCCCCAGCAAAGCTACCCATGAATGGTCGCTTGAGCCATAGCCATGGGGTTTAGGCCATAAAGCTCTCGATGGCCTGCTGCTAGTGGATGCCTCGTTCTTGGGGGCTCTTTTACGGCCGACAGACCAGAGATCCTCACAACCGCCTCAGGGCAATTCACAGCGGACAGTGATTGCAGTCCCTGTGCCTTCGCAAGAAGGCGGCTGCACCTGCAGCTTGAGCTCTATGCATGCAGTCGAGGAATGAACGACTGGGAGCAAAAGGAGGAGCAGGAGCAATGGCCGTGGGATCGAGACGGTAGCTGAAAATGCTTTAGCACAAGCAGTCGAAGAAGCATGTCTCCGGGAACGAAGCACTGGAGAAGTGCATTTATCACATGCATAGCGACATGCCGGCATGCACGGCCATGGTGAGCTTCTTAACAAGCATACATTGGATATGGAGCCCCCTGACAGTCGAAGCACGTCTTGGTTCGCTTCACCTCTCCCGTTTTGGTCCGGACTACAGTCTCCAGAAGCCCTGACTCCCACTCAAGTTGTTATATATGCTATGTATGCGGTCTTTTTTACTAGTTATATAATACATAAATATCAATAAATAAACGAATGTGTATATCTATATATACATAGACATGCTTCCGGCCCACCTTTGTCGGCCGTATTCGGAGTGGAAGTCGCAAGCGAGCTTGCGCTGCACACGGCCGCACGCTCCAGAAGAAACAGCCTGAACTGTACGGCATAGGAGCCGGGCTTCAATACAATTTGATGTGATACAATGACGCAGAATCTCACAGAAGACAACATAAGATGACCCAGAAAACATCAGATAAGAGAAGATAGCACAACTGAATAAAATGCAAGATAACTTAGTACAACATGTCATCCTGATACATGTGCCACGTTACGTGTTCAGATAATATGATCTACAGGCAGAACGGCATACTACAACATACAAGTAATAGCACAGAAACAGGATAATGTAGGGTTAGGTCAAACGAAGCAAGATCAGATAAGATAAACCGCCACAAGATCACATGAACCATTGCTGAATATAGGGCAGGATAAGATTAGATGTGATATGATCACACCGGAAAAGAAAGTAGGCGACCATGTGACGTCATGAAGCACAACAAGTCTCACAACTCAACATAAGGCCAAATAAGATCCTATGATAAACAGTACTAATAACTTGATGCCACACCATGTAACCTCAGGCCATGAACATGCCATACAGCTATTTACATATCATATGTCTAACTGTCACACTGTACTGTTTTCTGTAAATATCTCGGTAGCTTGCCCGGGCACATGCCGGTTGAGAACCTGTGCAAGGAAGGGTTGCATGTCTCTCTCGCTCTCTCTCTTCTTCCCCGGGGCATGAGGGGAGTGCAAAACCCCTCGGCCTTGTAGGCCCCCCCGATGTTCGTGGGGCTTTTGGAGGAGTGTGAACGCAAGTGTGAGCATGTTTCCCCCTGGCTGTTCGTAATAAAGTATGCTCCCTCTCTCTCTCTCTCTCTGCCGTGGCATCCAGAGGGTCTAGCAGTGCCAAGCAACACGTGAGGCTACAGCCCTTGAGGTCCCTCACGAAAACAGCAAGCCGCCCCTCAAGCAGCAGGCAATGCCGACATTTGCCAACCACGCACGTCTAAGGAAAGGTTGCATGCCAGATGGTATTTGCAGCGCATGGTGTGTCTAGGCCATAAACACATCTGATAAATATGTCTGCGCTATTACGAGGGAAAATCACTCCCGCCATCTCTGACAAGGTCGGTACCTTCCGCTACACATGCCAGGTCGGGGGGCCCCGAGGCATCCGAGGGCATCGGAAGACTTTCGTAGCCTGGAACTTGAAATTTGTTGTGGGGGTCGGTGCATGTGCATGACGGGCATTATAGACACCCCGAAGCAAGAAAAAGCAGCAGTAACATTGCAGCTCAGTGGCGACTTGGGGCTATACATCTTCTAAAACGAATGCAATTCTCTTAGTCTGAGGGAGCAGCAAGTGCTGATAGTCCACGCAGAGCCGCTCATATGCCTTGTCCTGCCGAACATACGATTTCAAAATATAGAGATGTTCGTGGGCTTTTGCAAAGTGTTCGATTGGGAAGGACATGAGGGATGGCAGACATGGTCGAGCTTGTGGTTTAACCTGTACCTCGGTCTCCCGCAGGCCCGCTCTTCAACTACCGCAGTTCTGGATTTTTCGAAGACGCCAGATGAGTTGCTAGCATAACCGAGTCAACTGGAAGTTAGGTTAAAGCCGAAGGCTTTGAAGGCTTCGCCACTTCTCGATCTGCGATTTCATTTCCTGTGCCCCCTTGCCCGTTGATCTGTCGTGCGGTGGCTGAGCTGCATCGACAAAACCATGACATCGTCAAGCTCCAAACCTGAACAGTGCCCAGACCCATTGGCAGCCCTGCGGCAAGTCCTCTTGCGTGGCTGGTACTGCTGTGGCCACGGCCTTGCATGACGATGATGCAGATGCCCAGCTTACAGGGTCGAGGGTTTGGAATTCGTTGGGGCTTATCTACCTTGGTATACTTATCGATTTGAGAGGTTCGGGCGGGCCATCCGCGATGTACGCTCAGATACTTGGCCTGATAAAATCGTCGAAAGTGCACACGTTCATGCCGAGTTCTCGGCCGCAGTCTGGGTGGTGACGCCTCGGCCGCATAATGCAAAGAAAGATCAGGTTTGTGCTGACTAACTACGGGATGACAAACACGGCATGACTGCCGTATCAAGTGCATTACAGTTTGGTACATACGTCAACAAGCTATGAAGCGGTAACCAGTCCCGTGTAGCAGAATATGCTACATGATGGTGCTGCTCAATGCCAAACCAGGCCTATCTTAGCACAACATGAAGAACTGACCCCATTGTCGCTCAGAGTATTGCTATTGTAACAGCACTCGGACCATCTTCCAAGCTAAAGCAGGTACCGATTCATTCACCTCAACAAGAATTCTGTGCTCTCCCTGACTCTCAGTTTAGTTTAGCATTTCTGGACTGCCGAGACCGTACAAAGCCGTTCCTGCTGGCACTAGGGTATGCCGACATACACACACACACACACACAGAAGGCCCAAATCGTAGAAGCCGAACTGCTGCACGGAAACCACTCGATGAGATCGTAGGCTCGATATCGTACCGTGCACCAGAAGCAGGTTTTTGCCTATGACGGTGTTGAACAGCAAGGCTCAAAAATGCGATGCAGCAGCACAGGATGGGTGCTTCTGCCCCACTGTGCCACATGATCAACCCGTCTCCTACAGAGACCCAGGTACCTCTCGAGATCTGGACACGAAATCCGACACCGTGACAGCATACTAGCAAACCAATTTAGGCAAATGAGGAATTGTAGGCTTGGCAACGCTACTCTTCTTGTACAGTACTACATCTAAATACAGCACAGTACACTGCTGGCCTTCTTATGCAGTAGTGTCTCTGAATACCGTACAGTACTAGGCCGTCTTGCGGTTGCTTGGGCCTTGAACGACCTACAGGCTCCGACCCGTCTGGGCTCGAAGCAGGACGCCTACGAGGGATCCATCCCAAAACAAACAAGCTCTCCTCCGGGCGGCTTTCGGGTTCGAAGGATGTTCGGTTTTTTTTTCACTCTAGGGTTTAGACTTTTAACCCGCCATGAAATTAGGGGTTAAGGGTAGGGTGATGGGCTTTCTGGCCCAGGAAGAGCTGGTGCCGTTGACTCGGCAAGCGCTCGCACTCCATTGGAGGTAGCGAGCACAAGGATGCAGAATCCAAACTGCTTCATGCAACCGAGAAGCCACATCAAACGCTCTGGAAGAACAAACAATGATCTTCAAAAATCGAAACAGCTGCAGCTCAGTCTTCATATTGTAGAAAGTCCATGCTGGGATTTGCTTGGCACAGCATGTCAAGCAAACAGGTCTCACAATGCTGCTGCAGCTGACGCAGTACGCAGCTTCGCCGAAGTACTGCCGGAACTACAGTGTATTGAAAGGGGTGGCATCTTGCTGGACAAGAAGCCAAGGCCCCGTACTAAAGTCCCAGGGCGATCAACATGTCTGAAACGCAAATGAGTTCTCACCAACGAGGTGCAACCTAACCAAGAGCAGGAAACTTTGGATCTACGGTCGCAAGAGGATCTCACACTATCTCCGCTGCACGAAATTGTGTACTCCTACCTGAAGACATTCCTCCTAACTCAAGACCAAATCTAAAGGGTTGCTGGGATTAATGTGGAAAGTAGCTAAGGCCAGGACAGCCGGGTGCTTACGAAGCTGTGAATGGCATAACATGAAGCCTTGTATCACATTGCCAATAGCTCATGCAACCGAAGCCCATGGACTTCACCAATGCATACATCTGAATGTAATTATGCGCGTGGTTATACATGTAAACTAACATAAACATGAATGTACTCCTACTAGCAATACTGTTGTAATTTTCATGATGAACATTATTACAATGATTACAATTCTCTTGATAATCCTATTCGTCATATTATGAAAAAACTGATATTCCATCATTATGGTAGTGATGATCCAACTGTCAATTTGAAAAGCAGTCACAAGAGTAGTAGTAGTAGTAGTAGTAGTAGTAGTAGTAGTAGTAGTAGTAGTAGTAGTAGTAGTAGTAGTAGTAGTAGCAGTAGTAGTAGTAGTAGTAGTAGTAGTAGTAGTAGTAGTAGTGGTAGTAGTAGTAGTAGTAGTAGTAGTAGTAGTAGTAGTAGTAGTAGTAGTAGTAGTAGTAGTAGTAGTAGTAGTAGTAGTAGTAGTAGTAGTAGTAGTAGTAGTAGTAGTAGTAGTCAGGTAGTAGTAGTAGTAGTAGTAGTAGTAGTAGTAGTAGTAGTAGTAGTAGTAGTAGTAGTAGTAGTAGTAGTAGTAGTAGTAGTAGTAGTAGTTTTGTTGTCACCCACCTGGCACACCTGTGGCAGCTCCGCGGGGACCCGAGATTTGCAAGTCACGACGGGATCAACGTAGTAGTAGTAGTAGTAGTAGTAGTAGTAGTAGTAGTAGCAGGAGTAGTAGTAGTAGTAGTAGTAGTAGTAGTAGTAGTAGTAGTAGTAGTAGTAGTAGTAGTAGTAGTAGTAGTACTGTTTAAATAATAAACGTCCTAGTAACAATACAATAAGTGGTAGTAGTCGTCGTCTTAGTAGTGGTAGTAGTATGTATTCTTGCTATTGCTGTTTTTATGTCAATGCATGTGTATATACATATGCATGCGTGTACATATACACACACACACACACACATATATATATATATATATATGTATATGTATATGTACATGTATACCTATATGTTATATACACTTACTAAATGTACACGTGCCGGTTTGTTAATCATATTGCAATCATCTTGTAGTCTGGCAGTACGCTCTCACACTTACTCGACAATGTACAGCTTTTCAAAAACTCGAAGCCCAAAGCCCTGAGCCAAATCGAAGTGCTGCAGTCCCCAGTAGCTTAAGTAAAGCAGGCCTCAACACCCTCGGAGGTGGACAAAACAGGATGGTGAGACCGGTCAGGCTCTTGAATTCGCAGCGCGGAAATTCGGATGCACTTGCAGCGCTTTGCCGAATGACCTTGAGTGGGGGTCTAGACTTTGGCAACTGAGGAGTGCGTGGGGGTTTCGACTCGCACGCTCGGTGGGGTTCTACACTCTCACAACTCGGACAATCCCGGGGAGGCCATCGAATCTGGCGTAGCCGGCGTGAAACAAGAAACCTAAACCCTACCGCGTGGGGTTTAGAACTGAGGGCTGGACCTTCACTAGCGAAAACACCTAGCTGGCTCTGCTGTGTTATCGGCATCCTAGACCCAACACCTCAAGACTACATCACGGCTGGTTCAAGCACTTGCTGGCTTGGCATGCGATTGCCGTCTGTGGAGGCGGCTCTTCTGCAAAGAGGCAGGAAAATCCACAGGTCTGTACAGGCCTTCGTCTGCCCTCATGAGTCGCTTAATGCATCCAGCAACCTCGGATGGGCGTCATCTTGCCCGGGTTTTCAAGGGCCATTTGATGCACCAGTATGGGGGCCTTGAAAGTTAGAATGGGGTTTTGGGACACGTTATACTACAAATATGACAAGGCAGACCAACAACGTGTTGGTAATTCTTTAGGCCGCTATACTACACTTGAGGGCACCTGGCCAACCGCATTTCAAGCTGGGCGTGTTCGAAGGCAGCTGAAGATGAACTGGCCCTAGAGCGGTGCTCAATTCCATTCCGACTCCTTATATACACGAGAGGCGAGAGGTGTTAAACTCCACATCTGAACATGAGTCCGCAATGGAGTCAGAGAAACCCTGTAACAGCGGTATAAGCTACAATACACCCAGCTACACCTTATACCAAGTGGCTCTCCTTCATCGCCCGTTTCGCAGTCTGCCAGGCTATCATCGAGAGCTGCGGGAGATTCCGCTCGTGGCCTGGGGGTGCTTCCGGGATTTGGCTTTCGAGTTAAGAGACTCACCTGAGGGGTCATATTGGATTTACTAAGCAAGACTATCAGTACCCTAGTTGGGGTTAAGAGTAACTAAGTATAACTGGAGTTACCTATTACTTGTAAACCTAGTTACTAAGTCCCATGATCCTCTAAGCAACCAAGGCCAACCGGGGTTCCTCATGCGGCTCAGAGTTTGCACATAGTTTCGAAGGGGGAGCTGCGCTGTCGAGACGTTCAAGTGTGTCCCCACCTGCAGAAGTTGTTCCCATACTCAAACCCTGCAATCCGATAATCTCGACCATCTGCGGTAGGTCGTCTTCCGCAAGGACTCTTGGGACAAGAGGATTCAGCAACTTCAGTAATATAGGGGCCTTACGGGAGCTGTAAGGAATTCGAACAACATTGGCAATTATTGAGGCGCCTCCAGTGACTCCAGCCATCTTGCGTACTCCAAACCCGTTCCAATGCCATTGACGAGCGAAAGTCAGCACGTAGGTCTGATTGTCGAAAGATATTACACAACGATCGAACGACACAAGATCGAAGACTCTAGCACCAAAAACAATTACCCCCTCACTAATATGCGAATGCAATCGTGACGTGTGTATATATATACATACATACAACTACGTACAAACAGCTATATACATGTGTATCTAAACATGACTTTCAACATGACTACAAATTTACATATAAGTGCAAACATAAGTAGATAAATAAATGCACTAATACATACAGATGTATGTGTATATGTATATGTATATGTCTGTATATATATATATGTTTGTATATGCTGTATATACACAGATACAGGCATGCATGCCTACATACATGGGTACATGCATCTCAAGTAGGACACACTACAATGCTGAGACAGAGCCCAGAAGCTCCAGTTTGCTGTCTCCTGTGGCTGATTTTGCAATCCTCAGGCTCGGTGGGTCAGACACAGCCGGGTCTCGGGTTAGGGCTTCGGGTTTCATTGTGGCTTGGACCCTCGCAGCTTTGTGAGGCTTGGGTTACGCTCTCACAACTCGGACGATGCCAGGCGAGGTTTTTGGGACACAGTCGGCGTGATACAGTATCAAGAGGGATTCTCACTTGTGCCTTGGGTTAGGCTTCGGGGAACTGTTCTACATCTTCTGCTCTGGTTGTCCAAGGATCTTCTTGCGCTCGGGACGTTGCCACTTCACTGATCCAGGCAGAGGCGGGCTGCCAGCTGGCAGGTAGAT